TTATGTTTATGTTTATGTTTATGTTTATGATAGTAATAATAATAATAAGTTATAGTTAGAACTCTGTGGTCATATCTGAAGTTTAGTCAATGTGAACAGAACCTCTGAAATATCATTGTGACTGAAATGGCATTTTTTGAGAGGTTGCCTTTTGCATTTTCAACAGGATTGGACATGGGACAGAGGATGGGCCCCCCTTGATGCCTATCACCCCACCCAAACACATGAGCATTCCTGACATACCACGCATTTCTGAGCTTGGCTTTGAGACTTTGATGCTGGTTTTTAGTTTGATGTCTCTTGCCCTGCAGTACCTTAACATCTACCGCACCGTCTTCTGGCTTCCACACTCTCATACGAAATATGCCATGGTAAGTCATCTTTCCTTGGTAAGCTTTTATTGACTTGTGTATTTGTTTGAATTTTCATACACATTAGGCCTTCATATTTTCTTCCCCAGAACCTGTACTTGATTGACAGAAGTGTTGTGTGGTTCATTGTGGTGACGCTGAGTAGGCGATTAGGATGGAGTATTCTCAAGCTTGTAATTACACAGTGCATTCATCAGTCATTGTGGAAATCTGCTCTCTCAGTGGCAAGGTGTGTGTTTTCAAAAAGAATCCTTACAGTGCCATAGAAATAAATGAATTATTTTTTTGTATGTATCATAGATAATGCTCTCTCTCTCCAACAAGTTTAAATTTCCTTACCCAACAGAGTGATGTTTGTAGGAGCGATTGCAGCACTACTAGGCTTCTGCTTGTATACCATCAGTGATGCTCTAACATTCATAAAGATCTTAGCTCTTGGATATCCGTAAGTGAATTATAGTCAGTATTGTGTGTGGCAACTTTTATTGATTTTACTTTTGAGAATTATGATTTTTTTCTTATGACTTTGATTGCATATGTTATTGGAAGTGTCTTATGTATTCCAGAAATATTGTAGCAACTTTTTCTTTTTTAGAACTCATTGTGAAATAAAGTCCTATTTTATTCCCTTAGGTTTGTGTTTTATATCTTCATATTTGATATGGAGATTACATCTTTCTTGGAAGTGATCCCAGTTCCAGTGCACTACAAAGAAGAAGGAACTAAGGCAAAGCAATGTAAGGTCTTATTACTAATGAGTTTCCTTTGGATGTGTGAAGAACATTTAATGAACTGAAGTGTTTTCTTTAGGAGGAGATAATGCTTCAGTTTTTTTATCACAAAGTAGTATTTGCAGCTAAGAAGGATTGCTCTTACATATAAATCTTTGTAGCACAATACTTGTGATTAAAAGAATATATATAATTCTAAAAAAGTATTGACCATTGCATGCCATGGGCAATCTAGTTGTAGTTAGCAGATGACCCAAGTTAAAAGAATATGGGTATTGTGATGAAAATCATTGTCCATTTCATCCAAAGTCATCCATGTTAAAAATAAACATTTAAGTCAGAAGGAAGTGTAATGTTATTTGTCTTAACTTCATTTGTGATTATATTAGGCAATGATTTTATTTGTGTTTCATTGTAAATTAATGTTTCATGAGCTAGGTATTTATATTTTATATATAACTAGGTTAGATAGAGTTAACTTTTTTTTGTTAACTAATCACATTGTTTTTGAACAGCTGTTGTACGTCTGATACAACATGCTTGCATGAACAGTGCAGATGCTGTGCGTGGTGAAGTTGAATTCCTGACAAATGACTGCAATAGGCGCATGGCACAAGTTATGTATCAGACCATTGTCATTGTCTACTACACTACATTAATTCCATGTTTCTTTGTCCCGGTAAGTATTCAGGGTTACTGAAAATTTCTTTTTAGTGTGATGATTGAACTTAAATTTCATAGTCTAATACATCAGATCCAGGTTCCTCACAACCCACATGTGTACCAAAATCTGGGTAATAAGCTTACTCAAGTGGCATCTCTTGTGGGTGTGTGGCTTGTTGGCCTGGCCCATGTGAACACTCATGTGCGGTATCAAGATTCCTTGCCTCCTCTTTGCAATGCTGTTATGTATTTTTCTACATAAACCTTTTTGTGTTTGCAACTTTCCAAAACCTATATTTATCTGTGGTGCTGCATCAAGATGCTAATAGATTGTTTTTCTTGATGGGTCTCATTTATATTATTATTATTATTATTATTATTATTATTATTATTATTATTATTATTATTATTATTATTATTATTATTATTATTATTATTATTATTTTTCATTTTTCATTTTTTAATTTTTTTAATCAGTTTTCTGTAACACACACTGTGCTGTCAGTCACAATCCTGAGCATGGAAATATTTTCCTCCCTGGAGCTGGCACTTTTTCAGCCATGGAAAATAGATGGTACATTCTACCCTCATTTACCTATGGAAATAGTGCAAGAGACCCTTCCTAAGTGCCCACTGAGTTTAATCATCTTCTAAGATCTTGGAACAGTCATGATGAGTCGTTCCTGTCACCCTGGCCCTCAGCTGAATTTTCCATGATGACAGATTCCTGTCATCTCAGCCAAAATTTTTCATGGTGGTATGTTCCCGTTACCTAGCCTTCTGCCAAATTTTTTCATGATGTACAGTCATGTCAACTGGAACTAATGGGTTGAGTGCTTAACTAAAGGCTTTACCTTGTGAAGAAAAGTTTCTGAGTCTTACAGTGTTGATAGTATTTAGTGAAGTATAAGAGCTTCCATTGTTAGAGATGCAAATTAGTGCCAATTGAGTTATATTTATTCCTAAAATAGTTAAAGGTAAAATGAAAAATTATTTTATTTTCATGTAAAACATATGTTATTAGTTGCACCCCAGTGAAACAGATAATTTGAATGGATAATGGTTTAAGCATATTTTATAATATTGATATTTACAAAGACTTTAGTAAAAAAGAAATATCCACACTGTATTTCAGTTATGTCTTATTTTCTTATTACAGAGCTCCCTACACTATGATGTGTCATGGGTTACCTTCCACACATTGTTTGTAGCCACAACCTGTTTCATGTGGCACCTCCTGTATTGTTATCCGGCAAGGTTAGAATGTTTCTCAAGTATTTTGTCTTGTTTATTTTGGAAAGATAATTTGAATTTGCATTAACCTGCTGGATCCTATTGGGTCAAGGAAATCACCGTGCCAAAAATATGGACAGTGGGTTTCGTAAGTAGCCAATATCCCAGGCATGTGGTGCGTAGGTCTGGTGCACGTGAATATCCATGAGCAATGACAAGACTCCGTGCCTCCCTTTTGCAATGTTAATTTGTGTAAACTTGTAGCCTCTTTGCCATTTTCCAATATCCATAGTTGTCTTTTGATTTGCTTTATCCAGATGGTAATAGCTTATTTTCCTTGCACAGACTCCATATCATCTCTCTATGTAGTAGATAACTCAAGTACAAGAAAAAAGTATGGAAGATTTGGTTATTTGTGTCATATATCTAATTTTTTCGTAGTTTTCAATTTTCCATAATACAACCTGCGCTGCTTGTCACAGTGGCCAGGAATACGGTGCACAACATGGAAATGGTGTCCTCCCTGGAGCTGGTGCTCTTCTGGTCACAGCTTATGCAAGTTACATTCCACATTTGTTTATCGATTAGAATGATACTAAAGCCCCCTTCTAAGTGCCAAAGGAGTCAAATCACAATCCAAGAGGTTTTTGCACTCATGGGGAGTCTTTTCCATCACCATGGTTTTTGCTCATGATGGTAAGTTCGTGTTACCTGGTCCTCGTCTATTTTGCCCGATGACGGGATGTCGTCGGGCAAAATGGATATCACCTGGCCCTCGACCCAGATTTTTTCATGATGTCATGCGGACCCTAGAGGTTAATGAATTTACATATTTAGAATAAGTCACTGCGTGGTTAACTTTTTTTGATCATATGTTTTTTCTGTTATAAATGTTAAGATATTTTTAGTTGTATCATTAATGTATATGTTTGAATATGTGAAACAAAGAAGTTAGCTTTTCTTTTGATTTTGGAAATGAATTTTGTTTTTTATGCATATGTTATTTGAAGATATCAAGTTCACTCATTATTTTAGTTGTGAAAAGTCATAGAAGGCCAGTGTGTGAACAATATTTTCTGAAAGGAAGTAAAGCTAGAATAAAAGTATGTATAAATACATTTATTTGATACATTAGACTACAAAAATAAATTAATTTAGATGTCCATAAATTTTTTTGCTACAACAAGCCAGATTAGTGTTAAGGTGTGGTTCAACTCCCCCTAGTCTTCATCTAGGACCTGACTTGTGTCCGAGTGCCCAGCCAGACGTGGTATTTCAACTGCGAAAAGCACCTCCTTAATTAGACCACATGTGCCTCTTGCTTGATGAACACCATGCATAGTACTTATCCCCTGTTTTTGCTGTAGTTTTGTGTTTCGTTGTGTATAATATTTTGAGAAAAGAGGAATGGAAACCAATTTACTGACTTGAAATTAATGCATTCTGATGCACTGTCATGTGTGTAGATCCTCAGATTCAAATTAGCCATTTCTTGTTTATTTGTTTTTGGTAATAAAAAAATAATTTTTTTGCTAATTAAGGGGGCTGTCATACTGAATTTTCATTAATATTTTCAAATATACCAGAAATTTGAAAAAAATCTCCTGTAATCTAGTAGGCTTTGGCAATCCCGTGATGTAATATATCTGCTAAATATGTATAAATAAAGGAGTTATGAACCCCCCACCTCCAGGTCTGATGTTTACATTGTCGTGTCTGTGTAAATATACTCGACAAATTTGTTTTTTTTTATTTTTAAAGATTTTGTTTGGTATTCTCTGCTTCCTGAATTCAAAGACAAGGCAGGTAGTCACCACTGCGCATCTACTGCCCTCCTCGATACCATCTCATAGAGATACCCCTGATGAGCCCGCATCACACACTAAGAGGACTCTACTAATAACAGATGTTATTCCTGTAACTAATAAACATAATATAATGAGAAATACTTATCAATCACAGCTACAGCTGTTGTTTATTCGTATGAAATGCCTCACAAGTTCCTGTAAATGCAGTGCAAAGCCTGTGATGACACACGGTACTTCTACAATCATGTGCAGATATTGCCATTATTAACTTGCAAAAGGGGAGAACCAGGTACCAGCTACACTTCAGAATACCATGTGAATGCCATAGAATACATGAAGATTGATTCAGAGATCAGATTTCTTAAAAAAAAAAAAA